GTGAAGTTGTGAAGTTTGCGGCTGGTAGTCGAAAAAAAGGTTATTTCTTTTCACGCTGAATACTTAATTAGACTACCAATTATAATATCCATTAAGGATTGGTAATAATATCTATCCAAAATATTATAAATCCATATCCATACAATTTGACTACCTACATAGTTTTTATGTAATAAACAAAACACAGAATTAAAAGTACGAACAATTATTGTATAAAGCCAATTTAACTAAAAGTCATGTCTACTTTGTAGCGACTTATGCCATAAAACTACGTAATTAAAACAATATTTTTTTTAAATAAAGCCCTGTCTTGTAATGATAACATACGCGCAGACACAAATATTTTTGAAAAAAAAAAAAAAAGCTGTACACGAATCCTATGTAGTCTAATTTAAGACTTCTCGAATACGCGTTAGTAAGTTTGAACCACTTTAATTGCCAATGAGGAGTGCATTTGACCTAGACGCTTAAAACATTTCCAGCTATTTTGTATTTTCATTCCAGGAATTCAGGATGTAAATAGTAATTCAGTGCGACTCGTGTGCTTGCGGGTATGCAGAATGTTTTTCAGAGAATAGAAAACGCAATACGGGAAGGAACTACATTCGATTTTCGATATTGCTGTTGATAAAACAATACGTAGAATAATCATTGCAAGCTTGATTGAAGCATTTATTGCTCTTTAGTCTTTAAAATGGTGCAAAAATGTTAAAGCATCTATTTTTTATTTTATTCCTTAATTTTTATTTATGCAAGTTACGAGACACCTACTTCAATTGCGAATCGATTTAGATGACTCTTATTTTATTAAATAAGGTATGCCTCAGAAATGGTCTCATATAAATTTGAAGAAAACCTTCCGCGCTACATCTTAGAAATGAGCGGAGGCCTGTGCCCAGCAGTGGGACGAATATAGGCTGCAACTTTACTTTACTTCCACGCTTAAGTGTGGTGTAATAGGGAATGAATTTTCATGTTACTATGTAGACAACATTGACACTAAGTACATCAGACTTTATTTCTTAGTCTTCTCAAAAGAGTAAAAAACCATTTTTTAGTAAAACTTAAAGCCAAGAAAGAATAAATATAGAAATAATTTAAAGTTTTGAAGTCTGTGTATAAAATAATTAAAGCCACGATTTTAGAACATTAAACTATTTTATTATTTTTAGCTTTTTAAAGTCGCTTTTACATTTTATCAATTTTATTTTATTGAACTCTAAAAACTTTTTCAAACACGTGTTTGTCAATTTTTACAAATAGCCGTTGTAGTAATTTATAATTTTATTCAAATGTGTTCAAGTGTAGTGTGAAGACTGGCCGCCGTGTCCGAAATTCGGTCTTGAGGGCATTTTTATTACTATATATATTTTGATTAATGATTTTTTTTATTTTGGGGAGGAAAATAATATGCTTAGTTTCTTTCTAGCCTTTTACCTTTGCCTAATATTAAAATTAATTTGGACAATTTAAAAAATAAATTTTTAAGCGATAGGAGATGGGCTACTCTTGATTGGCATCTTCCTGATGATAACTCAGAATTATAATAAAACTGCATTTGCCAATCCACCTGCTACGCGTAGCAACTGTGGTAAAATCTTCCTGTGTGAGACAATCTGTGGGGGAGGCCTAATACACGTTTAAAGTGGAATGGATTGATTGATGGATTTAAAAAATAAGATACCGCTTAACTTATAAAGACTTTGTTAAGTGAAATTTTACGACGTAAAGCGATTAATAAGTTTTAACCTGCAGTTAAATTACATGGGATCGTTTCCAGTCATTATAAAGTCGTGTTGTAGTATTATAATTGCTTCATCGAAGTGTTGAATACTCTGAAAATAGATAGGAATGGAGAGAATAGAATTTAATAACGAGCATATTCAAAACAAACCTACGCAAGGTTTAAAGACCAATACTAGACCGTTTCTAATAACATGTTAAATGAGAAGTTAAGTAACAAACTGTAGGCAAAAACAATGAACGTTTACAACTACATAGCTATTCTATTTAATTTTATATTAATTAAGGTTTGGGGATGATATTGGGGTTGAAACTCGTCATATTTAACATTTGTATCTGTTAACGTCTACATCAATAAGTAATGTGAGTTTTCTTTTTTTTTCTTTTACTAAATAAAAGCGTTTTTAATATTAAAAGTATATTAATAAATAAATTTAATAAGTAATACCTCCAAAAGAAATACATCATCAACGCATCGATCGATGCTCGATAAGCTTTTTAATAGAATAAGTGCGATAAACGAGCACTCAATCCTCCTGATGTTAAAAGGATACTATGAACTTAGATATGTACATTTATCTTCGAAAATAATCAAACTAAAGTAGAAAATAATTAAACTACAAAAATTAGAATAATCGAAACTTCTATTAATTTAAAATTCAACTGAAAATTAATCTACCAAGTATTCTCCTAGAAACGGTATTAAGCAAAAGATAAACGACCAAATCACAAGCTCCGTAGTATCACGTCACGTGAGTGCACGTTCAAACCCACGGCTTGAGGCTAATATGTTTAAGTAACTAATACTACCAAATAATTTAAGTTTGGCATAATGTTGGTATCTGTTCAAACAAAAATTGTGGTTTTTTCTCTTCCATCTAGCTAGTGTTACTAGAAAATTACTCGGTGCACATACATTTTTACTGAAATTTGGAGTAGGTATACTGAAGTTTATGTTGTAATTGCTTACTGTATTTTCAGTGAAATGTGTAGGATGATAAAATAATAATACATAAATACATTTTACGGATGTTTTGCCTATTTGCAAAACTCCTTTATTTCATTGTAATCATAACTGTAACTGCTGAAGACTCCTATCGCAAAAACTGTCAGTGAAGATCGAATAAGATTTACAAGGAGTATTTGGACGCAGGTTGCTTAAGATCGTGCCTTATAGTCTCTGGGGCAATTGATGTTCAGTATTATGTGATCATCATCATCAGTACAGCCCATCATATAATGTCTACTATTGAACAGTGGCCTCCCCACAAACTAGCACAAAGCTCATTCCTAATTCACCTGCATCAGTTGATTCCCTGCATGTTATATCAGGTCGTCACTAATAAGGGATCGCCCAACGCATTATGCAATAAACTTATTATGTTTTTTTTAAGTAAATGACCGGAGTAGTTCAACTGATTCTAGTCACCGCCAATAAAATTGTTGATAACATTTTTGAACAGACTTCAATAAGGAGAAGGTACTCAATTCGACTGTATGTTTTCTTTATGTGTGTTACCTCATAGCTTTTTTCGAGTGAATCGATTTTGATGATTCTCTTTTTTTTCTTAAGAGCTGGTATTTTTCTTGTGGTCCTATATAAATTTTAATGTTAGAGTTATCTTTAATAATGCGTATTTAATTGACTTCGAATACATTGATGATGTTCTCATTTTATTTCTATTGAAGTCGATTGTACATTTTTTTTAATTTTACCACTTGTAAAAATACACTATCATACGAAGAAACCAAAAAATATTTTGAAAACACGTGAAGTTCGGCTAACAAGCATCAGAGCAGCGATGCGGAATTTTCCGTGCTTAAAATCCTCTTAAATATGAAAGGTACAAGCTAACATTTCTAGCATGTAGGACATATTATGTAGGCTGTTATTTATTTACTTTTCTTAGGTATTGTTAGAGTGCTTTTTATTTTCGGTTGATTTGATTCCTGTGGAGGTTTCATTTATTGAATGTGTGAAAATTTACGTGCCATTTTTCTTAATCAAATTTTGCAACGCGCAATGAATTCCGGTGATAAATTTCTTCCAATATTAGGATGATTTTATGATTATTTTTCATTCCAATTTTATTTAGGTATGATGTACTTTACCGAACCAAGTAGTTGCGTTGCACGAATATACACAACCAAATATCGTCCTATAGGTGCTGTTAAAGGCGACAGAGGAAAACAAATCAGAAGATGGGTAGCGGAATCCCCTGGCAATGGTGACAACTATGAAAAAAATTATGGGGAGGCCTATGTTCAGCAATGGATTTTGATAGGCTGCCATAAATGACTTAATGAATACTTTACCTAATATTGTACAGATAATTGATTATACCTATTATTCACTATCATAATTTAGATTATAATGATATCGAAATACGGAATCAATCTACATTTTTGAAGACCTAATTTAAAGAGCTGTGGTACAGTCGCAATTTTTTCTTAAAAATATATACCAACATGTAATATGAAATTCTTCAAAATGATGAATTCATTTTACTCAAAGCAAAGGTGTTCTTCCTGATTCGAAATCCTTCGAAATAAGGCCTGTGTACAGCATATTTAGATTGTAACTTTAGGTACCTAATGTCTTGTACCTTTAACGCTGATGTGCGTCGCCTGTCTGGATATTTTCTAGATATATCTATGGGAAGTTTTTCTGGGTATATCTATGGAAAGTCACGAGCGACACAATAATTATATCAGATATTCGGTACCACTGTTTTTTTGTTAAATTTATCTCGGAATAGATTAATTTGTTTTAGTAATTAGGAGAAAATTGCATGATCAGTTTTTTTTTAATATTTCATGTGTCAGGCAACTATAAATGAGGTAATTTTTTTATTTTGATTTACCATAAAACCTTAACCTCTTATATACCTTATATTCAATATATGAAATTTTTATGATGTATAACCATTATAACTTCGTTTATATGAGTAATTAATATCCGAGTTAAGTTATGACATTGTAAAATTATATCCGATAATTTATGTTTGAGTTTTTGTTTTTTTCATACAAAATTAAAATCGATTCTTAAATGTCTTCACTCTAAACATAAAATAATCACATTTCATTTTACGTGAAATTAAATTTCTCTTTTTTGTCTTCGTGGTAATGACAAGCACGCAACGTAGCTTGTGATACAAAGGAAAAAAATTATTTATTATAACTATTTATTTAAATTTATACATATAATCTGATCTGAATCTGAGGCGGATTTATTGGCGGATTTTCGGGTGTGGGTAATGCAGAGGTATAGTAAAAATAAAAAATTGCCACTTGATACTTACAATGTAGCGCAAAGGGGGCACATAGCCGAGAGCGCACGAGTTCGCCCGCCGCTCGGCCGCGCCGCCGCGCTACCGCCGCATGGCGCCAAGTCGCCAGGTTCCGCGCGCGATGCTTACGCGCGTGCACAACCCGCGCGTGAAAAACCCGCGCGCAAAATCCCGCGCGCGATACCTCTGCGAGCACAGCACGTGCCGCGTCGCCAGCCACGCGTGCAGTCCACGTAACGCCCGGCCGAACAGTCCGACTGTTGACAATTCACATCCTCAATCACAACCAGAACGAAATCATCAGTTAGAATCGGTCTAGAATCACTTTGGAAACCTATACGCTCTCTGAAACGTCACTCGCATGTAAATAGTGTTTGAAATCGTCGGCACGCACTGTCGCATTGCAGAATAACGTGACGACGAGCCTCGCGGGCGGCAGCGTGTGCCAAAGCCGGCTGTGTTGCTCCGCTTGTTGCGAATTTTGACATAGAAAACATTCAACTACGGCGTGCTACGATCGATCTCGTATACTCACATTAGCATGCCAGCGTCGGCCTCCCGGTTATCAACTATGGTTAACGTAAACAATCGAGGGCACATTCATTTTTGCGAGCGGTGTCACATGGCGGGTCGCGATCGAAGGAGCTCGGGCCGGCGGCCCGGCTCAGAGCATCGGCCGGGCTGGCCGCGGGGCTGCCGGCGCGCCGTGTGCGGCGTCGCTTGCTAAATGAGCGAATTCGGTGCGCGGGGTATAAGCGTCGGAGGCGACACGCGCGTCGTCGGCACTGCAGGCCGCCACTGAGGAGGGGCGGCCCGGGACCACGGCCCGGCCCCGCGCCCCGCCGCCAACCCCTCGCCACCCTACCGCCATGTGCCCGGAGAGCTCGTCCCGCAAAGGGTTGTCGGCGAATGGAAAATTTCCACTATCTTCTTTTTGGCAATTCTACTACTGACATACGTTCGCTTCCACGGTAACGGTTTACTTCTAACTTAAGTCTTAATATTATAGCTAATTTTTAATTAAAATTTTATAATTTGGGAGGATATGCATGCTTAGTTGTCAAAATATTATTTTATAACTCAGAGGTCAGTTTGTTATGTAACATTTGAATAAAGAAGACGCAAAGCGCCTGTCAAAAAACTCCTAACGCAGCCCTTAAATTTTCAGTCAAGCCGGCCGAGTCGGGCCGACGTTTTCCGATGCGGACCGAGAGGGGCGACCGAGCCTGCACGAACGCGCGCGACCGGCGCCGCCCAGTCGATATGGCCGTCTCCACTCGCTGAACAAAGACACTAACCTATAATAATTACATTTAATTAAGGATTACTGGACTATTTTTGAGTGAATATGAAAAAGCATGGGTTACAGTTATGTTACAAGTTTCTCAATTCGGAATTTAATAAAATTTTCACGTTAAATAAACATAGAACTTTGCTAATTTATATTAATATTGCATCGCTGTAATAAACAACTTATTAGGAGACCACTTCACACACCTGTTCTCATCTTTAAAATATTGTTGATATGTATTAAATTTTTATTTTGTTTAAGCATAAGAATATTTTTAAATCTCATTGCAAATAATTTTAATGCAAATAATTTAACAACAATTTATTTTTCCCATTTTACGCTCCCGTATAATTTAATAACTGGACCTTCACCTACATCTGAAGTTTCACGGAAGACATATTATGATTTTTTATAAACATAGCATTTTGAGCAACACGTGTCATAATTTTTGTGTTTGAAAAATTTTCTGTTTTAAAAAAATATGTTCAAACTGAAATATTTTTATTTACATACAGGGTTAACTTATTTCATACTTACTCTGATTTTGAAATTGTCTTTGAATACTAATTCTGGACAACTATACGAAATTTTATAAAATATGTTCTAATACTGAAAATTTTAGTAAGCATTTTATTATACACAGGCATAGTTACTTGTCAATAAACCGGCTTGATGGTCCTTATTATTATTAATAATACATTTCTTTAAATAGTTAACAATTATAATGATTTTTTTACAGAATCAGGATGGCAAACGAGTACACAGTCCACCTGATGTTAGGTGGTTGCTGTGGCCTACAGACGTCTACATCTATCCTCGATTAAGAATGAAAATACAGATGCGTTGTCACCCGTGAGGACTAAAATGGAATGTCTCGTTTCCAGTAAGAAGGATCTCCGGTTCTCTACCCTCACCATACAAAACACAGCAACATCAAGCTATTATTTTGGTACTAATTTTATACGCTGGGTTCTGTGAGAGCGTGTTCCTTCCCACGGTCGAGTCGAACCATTCGTGCTAGAACTATAGCATTATAGCTGCAGTAAGGTTCTATCACATAGTAAAGTATGTTGTATTTTGTATGGAAATAAAGTATTAACTAAGTTTTGATGATATTCCACCTCAAAACTTTCAGTCTATCGTTGAACATGAAGCTTTTTGAAAATGCGTTAGTGAAATTTACTCACTTAACACATCTGGCTTGTGGTGGCTCATAGACATCTCTAGTCATATGGTTTACACAAAAGTAAGATGATTGTAGGTGGCTCACACCGTGCTTTGTGGCATTCCTCGGGGAAGGCCGAATCTTCAGCAGTGGACTTGTCATGTACTGTAACGAAAATGATGTGTTAAGTTTAAAAAATAATATATCATTATTTTTTAAAATTTGCGATGGGAGATATAGTGTAGCCCGTACGACACCATTGCTTTAACATTTAAGTTTGAGTCTAATTTAAGTCATCTAAAAAGCCACAAGTCTCTTATTGATACCTCCAACACTATATATATCATTGATAAATATTAATTGAGGAATCCGAGCAGCGTTTGGTCCATTCAATTAATGTATTCCTCTGTTAGCTACCTAGATATTGACACAAGAGTAAAATTTATGGAGCACTAAGTACAAACAACTGTATCAGCGCGTGTAATTATACTTTATTTCTCGAAACAGCTTACATCACAGACACGCATGTCAACTAAGGATTTTAGTTCATCGACGAGAAAGTCGAAAATGGAAACTATAAGTTGCAATAAATGATTCCGTTTGTGCCAGCGGAGATCGAACAAGGGTTGCACGCGCACTAGGCGGTTAATATAAAGTGCTTAGCTCCTAAGCTCCCTAAACTATCAGGCTTCAATTACGATCACAAGTTCTTAAACTGTTACTTATTTCTTTAAACTTTTAATGAAAAAGTTTCGGCGCTAAGATATAAAATTGAAGAAATTAAAGCCCTCGATTTAGGAATCTATATTATTGCAGAAGTTATTTGGTTATTGTTTTATTCTTTGAAACTTTTTACTAAAAATTTGATATTTAGCCCCTTGAAAAGATTACAGAATATGCAGATAACAACCGTATTGTCGTCTTTTCAATTACTAATTATTTTTCAATTCTTAATTTTTTTCTGCTAAACTGGGTCTGGGTGAATCTATAATAAATAAAATATACGTATATTTTTTTAATTTTAAAATAAATCACATTTAACGTTGCTTTTGCCACCCTTAGGGACGGATTTTTTTCCAAATTGATAAAGGGACCACTCCTGAAGTATAAACTATTTAGTGGAAAAAGAAACATTTAAATCGGTTGACAATTGACGACGATTTCGCGTAACATATATATTTAAATAAAGTCAGTCGAATTGTTAACTTCCTTTCATTTATAAAGTTGGCAAGAAATTTTCGGAAATCCTTTATATTAAAGATGTTAAAAAATTAATTATTTGAGATTCGCGTATTAAAATAAAATGATTATGTGGTTTGAAAAGCAAGAGGTGATGTGATTAGTGATGGCTGGACAGTGCATGCAGTTGAGAGCATGGGAGGTTCTTTTATAGGATAGGGGGACAAACAAGCACACAGTCCACTTGATGGTAAGTGGTTGCTGTAGTACATAGACATCTACGTCCATCCTCAATTACAAATCAAAATGCAGATTCGTTGTCACCCGTGAGGACTAAGATGGAACGCCTCGTTTCCAGTAAAAAGGATCTTCGGTTCTCTTCACTCACCATACGAAACACAGCAGCATTAAGCTACAATTTTATGCTGGTATTCTGTGAGAGCATGGTCTTTCTCAGGTCGAGCCGTCACATTTGTTATACAACTATACTTCTAATATGACTGCAGTATGGCTCTACTATGTATAATGCAACATTGCTCTACCACGTATAGAGGTGCTTTACAAACTAGGTAAGACAAATCATTTTATTTTGTTACGTAGATCTTAGTTCATTAATTTTTATTACTTTTAACTTATTATAATATTA